TAAAGAAGAGGCCAGCTACACCGCTTCCTAATCCGGCTAAAAATCCAAGGTTTACTATAGATTCACCTTTAAATAAGGCTATTACAGAGGCATGTGACCTCCTAGTTAAAGCCGCAGCTGCTAAACCAGACCGCCCAAAATAAGACCAAATACTTAATTTAATTAAAATCTTCCGCAAATACCTTAAAAAAGGCTCTATTAAGAAGGTTTCAGCCATTCTAGCTAATAAGATCACGCATATAGAATCCGCTAGTTAAAAGCTAGAAGCCACCACCTAGCAAATTGCCCTGAAACCGACTACCCGCCCGCAAGTTAACCCAAAAGGGCCTAGCGCAGCTGTCTTAGACCGCCCAAACGGGCCGAAAATCGCTCCCTAGCCGAAAACCACTTAAAATTAGATATATGCAGCTGCAGCTAAGTCTGCTAACCCCAATTTAAACTGGATTTTAGTTAATTCTACTAAAAAGTCCTCACTGCTAAAGCTAGCCATAAAGAAGCCTCTTACCAGCCGCCGCGTAATCCTAATTAAGGATACTATAGCCTAAAACAACGATTTTTAGCCTCTCACCGCCCGAAATGCTCTAAATAGAGCTTTTACTAGCAAAGGAGTAAAAGACCCTATAGTGCTTTTAGTGTCTAAGTCCCTTTAGGCCAATCTAGTAGTTATAACCATAGAGGCTTACTCAGCTGACTTCCTACTTACTAAATCCGACATCTAGATGCATTTAATGCCAGGCTACACCGCTCAGAAAGACGTCACATAGCATAAAATCGTTGCCCACAGGATCCCCACTTCTATTTTCAACTATCTGGAAGGCATAGAGCTAGTTAAGGACGAAATACGGACTTTTAATAAGGGTCTAACCCCTTTAGGACAGCCATACTAGATCACATCAGCCGAAAATCGCCTAAAACAGACAGCTAGATCCGTGGCAATTACATTTGCTACGCCTAAAGAGGCTAGCGCGGCCGTCTGAAATAGGCTATATATAGCTGGCATTTCTATACAATGCAAAAAACACTATATAACACGTCCCACCGCCTAATGCACTAGGTGTTAAGCCTATAGACACTTATTACACTACTACCATAAAGAGGCTAAGTGCTAGCTATGCAGGGAAAAACATCAGACGAAACAGCATGCATGCTCTATATGCAATGCTAAGGGTAGGTGTAATCACCTGACATATAAATGCGCCAATTGCAGAGGTCCATATGCGGCTAGCTCCGCTCTATATAAAGTCTATTAGAGCATCTACTTAAAGGCTCCTACATCCTCTCTATAATAGACGCTAGCACTAAAATCCTCTAAGTAAATCTGAATTCAGCTGCCTATAATACGGAATCCGCGCTATAAGTAGCAATTAAGCTAGATATAGATATTATACTAGTTTAAGAGCCCTTTATTATACGCGATTCAGACGGAATACAGTCGATTTCCCACCTCTTATTCACCCAACTCTTCCTAAATAGGCCTAGCCTAGACATCACACCACGCATAATAGCTTATATTACCAGGTCATACCGCCCTAGAGTCATCCTAGCCTTAGATTCGCTAAACGACTCAGACTTCCAAGTCCTAGACGTTATAGATTAAGATCACGTAATTAAGATTTATAATATTTATAACAAAAAGCACTAATTACCCGATTCAGACACCTATACGCTAGCCTGATGCCTATAGCAGCTCTTACCGCCTCTTAATTCAGTCTTTTGCAGGGACTTTAATGCCTACAACCCGTAGTAGGACCCCCTATATAAGGCACGTGATAAAGAAGGCAATATGCTAGTAGACTAGATCAACTACTATAATTTAGCCCTCTTAAATACCCCTGGTATTAGCACCTTCTATTATCCGCATATGGCTAGGCCGATAAATATCAACCTTACGCTAGCGCATCGATCTATAGCCAATCATATTTAGGACTAGGCTATAGTGGATAATATAGGCTTAGACTATTTTAGGATCACATTTACTATTAACAGTTCCTGAATAGGACTAGCGGATCCATAAACCACCCGTTTTAATATAAAACGGGCAAATTGGACCAAATTTAGGGAAAAACTTTTCTGCTAGCTATCACTACTCTAAAATGAGCTATAGGCCTATAGCTACATTTTAAGCTCCAATTTAAGCTTAAAGAGCTTAGAACAAATCGATGCAAAACGCAGCTATAAAGTAACCCTAGACCGTCTAGATGATATGGCGGAACGTTATACTAGCGCCATTTTATACGCTGCACACAATGCTATACCCCAAATCCGGTTAGCGCCACACGCTAAGCCTTAGTGGAACAATTCACTAAAATCACTTCAACGCGACATGAATCAGGCTAGAGAGGCCTCTAAGCGAGCGTTTTCCAGCCAATCAAATAAGCGCTATACTAGTGCCTGCAATACATACTTTCAGGCTATTAAGACGGCTAAAAAGGATCACTAGAACTAGTTTTTGGAAAAAGAGGATTCTAAATCGATTTTTAAAGCCTTAGCCTATATGAAGTCAAGGCGGTCAGAGCTAGTCCCAAATCTAAAGCTTTCTGCCACCCATTTTGTAACCATATTCACTGCTAAATGCGACCTCTTCCGCTAGACGCTCTTCCCTCCACCTCCTGAAATAGCTAGCCTGAAGTGGATATCATATACCGCCTTAGACTAGTGGCAATGGCTAAAGCTAGCACTAGACGAAGTGAAGCAAGCCTGTTCTAGTGAAATCAAATCCACTAGCCCTGGCCCGGACTATATTACCCAGACTATTATTACCTATACATATTTAGCATGCCCTTCCCAGATTTCACTCCTTTTTAAGACGCTAGTAAATACTAGCTATCATCTGAAGTGCTAGCGCCAAGCAAATTGCGCTATACTATAAAAGAACAACAAGCCAGACTATAAACAGCCTAGCGCATATCAGCCGATTTCACTTCTAAATTGCCTAGGTAAAGTGAGTGAAAGGATCCTAGCTAAGCGACTAGCTTACTTAGCTGAAACTACACCAAATCTACTACATCCTAGCTAAATCAGTGGCCGACTTAAAAAGTCAGCTATAGACGTAGGTGCTATGCTAGCGGATTATATCCATATAAATTAGCTATAAAATAAAATTACTAGTACGCTTCTACTAGACATAAAAGGGGCATACGACTATATGTCTAAGAACTAGCTACTTACGATTCTTAAGGATTTAGCCTTTCCCGATTCGGTTATTAAGTGGGTCTTATCCTTTATAAGCGGGCGGTCACTTAAGCTTCTATTTGACGGATAATCAGACAAAAACCAGCCTATTTAGACCGGAATCCTATAAGGAAGTCCAATTTCGCCTATCCTTTTTCTAATCTATATATAGGGCCTATTTAGGTTACATGCAGTCAAATTTATCTCTTATATGGATGATATTACTCTCTCTTACATATTAACTAGCCCCTGCAAAAACGTTAAGATACTACAGCTAGTAGCTAAAGAGCTATTTCAGCTAGCTAGTGAAAACGTAATCTAATTCGACCTGAAAAAGTCTAAACTGATTCACTTCAGCATAGGCGAACGCGCTAAGCTAGCGTCCCTTATACTCCTAGACGGGACTATAGTCCCCCTAAAGCAGATAGTTAAGTGGCTTAGCATTTACTTTAATGCTCTATTACAATTTAAGGAGCATATCACTATCCGCACTGCTAAGGCTAAGTCTGCATTTAGACGTATGTCCAGGCTAGCCAATAGCGAACGAGGGCTTAGTCCCACCGCTTTTAGACAGCTATACCTAGCTTATATTACTAGCATGTCCGACTATGCATTACTAATTTGGTGGCAAGGCTAAGCATATATAAAAGACCACCTATAGCACCTCTAAAATTTGGCACTACGTAAAATCCTAGGCACTTTTCGGACTAGTCCAATTCAGGCCATAGAGGTGGAAGCTAGCCTCCTACCGCCCGCAATACGGCTAGACACAGCTACACGCAAATACGCTTTTCAGCTAGCTAAGCTAAGTCCAGAACATCTAGTAAATTACTAAATTGCCAAATCCAGCTACTCAGGATACGGACTTCAGACGATTGCTAGGACTATCGCACCCCTGCTTAGCAGCAAAATCGAACCTATATACCACTTCCACTTTGCCCCTTAGAACCACTCTATCCCCTAGGACATACGAATCGCTAAATTGCCAAAAGAGGAAACTGCCACGATACACCGCCGGCAAATACGGTCACAATCGCCAAATCAGGTGTTATACTACTCAGACGGGTCGCAAATGCCTAAAAGCACTAGAATTGGAGTGGGACTAGCGGGCTACAAATGCGCTAGTCCCCCTTTTATACGACTAGCCCGAAATATAGGTCCCCACCAAATCGTCTATAATAGAGAGCTAGAAGGCATTGCCCTAGCATTCAAAGATGCGACGAGACTAGGCCTAAATAGGGATATTCGGATATACGCAGACAACCAAGCAGCCATTTATAGGCTAGCGCGGCCTTCCGATAATCCGGGCCAAATTCACTAGTTGCGTGCTATTGCAGCTGCCACTAAAATAGCCTAAAATGGATCCACGCTAGCAATAGAGTGGGTCCCCGGACACCAAGACATCAATAGAAATAAAGAGGCGGATAAACTGGCCAAACTAGGGTCCAAATCACTTCCGACCACCCAGACCGCCCTGGCTGCCCACACAAGCTATGCCTATATAGGCATAAAAATCAACTAAATATAACAGCATGCATAGGCGAATGCTCTAGCTAGCGGCAAAGGCCACTACTTCAACTTTTTCAACCCACGAATTCACTCTCAAATACAGCTTCCCAAAACGGCTAGATCCACTGCTAGCGCCTTTTTCCAGCTTAAGCTACAACACGGCTACTTTAGGACATACCTAAAACGATTCAATAAAACACCCACCAATTATTGCATATGCAGTCACAAGCCTAAATCACCATAGCATCTAATACTACAATGCCCCA